AGAATCACCTATAGTTGATAGCAGCAAGTTTAGTTTTCATATTTTCAATGTATTTAAACCTCAAAAGATTATAGCACTAACAATTTTTAAGGTTATTAGAAGAAGGGAAAAAGAACAAAATATGGTGCTATTTAATTATATGATGCAACACTACAAAGGTCACATTTTTAGGAAAAAATTATGGAGAAACTCAAATCCTAGTGAGTTTGGATTATTTGTATTATTTGAAATTACTGGGTACCAAATTTGCAATTGAGATCATCTGGTCACTCTGAGATTAACCTTAGGCTATATGGTTTATCAGACAAAAAGAATGCAGAATGAGACCAATATTCTATATAAATCCAACTAATAAGGCATTTGAGAAAATTTCAAAGGAAGAAGAAAATTCCTTTTCCTTTCTTTTATAGTTTTTCAAAGACTTATTAAAGTCAATTAATATTATAGACTAGGGAAGACTCTCGATCACTTACCTTTTTGTGCAAATAATGTATTAGGTCACAAAAGTACTTTATTCAATCTGACTTGAAGTTTTGGCAATAATGTGTTAATATTTAGTTGGTGTTGGTATAGATTTCTATGATAATTTTTTAAATATAGCTTGCAATTTGTTTTTTCCCCATTATTTCACATAGTTTATCTTCTAGATATTAAAAGAATGTGGCTTTATAGTTCTTTCCCATCTACTTTTACTAGAGTATACTTCAATGTCATAAGAAACTCAACAAAGGTCTGTGCTCATACCTGTTCATGGAAGAGTCTATCCTTGTATCGAAATTAATGACACAGAAGTGGCTGGGGAAAAAATGTATCTGCCATCTCTTAAAATCCTGAGGGTTTGAATACAAGCAGCCAGATCATCTTTCCTCCTTACCTACCACCCATTTTTCAATATTAAAGACTACACAGTCTGACACTATGTATATTTTCTTTTCATACCAACTGCAGATGCTGTAAACTTGGGGGTGGAGGATAAGGAAGAAAATGACTATAGTAAAGAGCACCACAACTCTAGAGAAGAAATTATCTATATTAAAAGATGGTGTTACTTTTAGAAACTTCCGTATAAAATTATCGCATCATGATGGAGAAAGCAAAGGCCTTCATTTCCATCCTAGACAGAGGAGAGTAGTGAGCCATAGGTAATAAATACATTCTTTGCTCTCACCTCACAGTCCATGAATTTGCAAAACTAACTTTACCCTTATTTCAAGCTAACTGTACCCTTATTTCAAGCAGATAACAAACATAATTTAGCAATGATATATGAGTAAGCTAATGCACATCAGTAAACTGAGATTGTTCTGGGATTATGTGCTGTCACAGTCTATTGACAATCTAAAACATCAGAGCATACATTTTGACACTGAAAGGGCCACTATGCGTAGAGACAATTCTTTTTTAAGAAGTACCCTATGGTGGCTCAGCCTGTAATCCCGCGCCTTGGGAGGCTGAGGTGAGCGGATTGCCTGAGCCCGCAGGTTCGAGACCCGCCTGGGCAACTTGGTGAGACCTCATCTCTACAATAAATAAAAAAATTAGCTAGGTGTGGTAGCGCGCGCCTGTAGTTCCAGCTACTTGGAAGGCTGAGGCAGAAGGATTGCCAGAGCTCAGCAGGTCGAGGCTGCGGTGTCTGGGAGCGGCCACTGCACTCCAGTCTAGGCAATAGAGTGAGACTCCAACTTAAAAAAAAAAAAAAGTAGTACCTTATCCACACATAAAAATAAGATTTTTATTTTTAAATAAAATGAGGCTCTCTTCTTCCATTTAAAGATTCTTGACCACTTTTTCTGTATGGGGGAAAATGGTAGCACTAGAAATCTGACAGAGATAGGACTTGGAATTCAGATCTGCCTTATCTCATAAGAAACTCAACAAAGGTCTGTGCTCATACCTGTTCATGGAAGATTCTATCCTTGTATCGAAACTAATGACACAGAAGTGGCTGGAAAAAAAATGTATCTGCCATCTCTTAAAATCCTGAGGGTTTGAATACAAGCAGCCAGATCATCTTTCCTCCTCACCTACCACCCATTCTTCAATATTAAAGACTACACAGTCTGACACTAAGTATATTTTCTTTTCCATACCAAGTGCAGATGCTGCAAACTTAGGGGTGGAGGGAAGATAATGACTATATTAAAGAGCACCACAACTTTAAGTAAATGTGTAAGAGTTTTTTCTGGGAAAGTTTCCAATCAAACATAGTAACTTAGAGTTAATATTAGTTATCAACGTAAGATAGTCTTTTATGTTACAGTTTGTATATTTCCTGTGATCGTTTCCTTAAAATATATCAATTGAAGTATTTCTGATTACTCTTACAATGCAGTTAATATCTTAGGTGTGGTACAACTTTTAGAGACAGTAGTTTATATGACTGTGATTTAATAAATGAACATTAATTTTCTGTTTCAGACAAATGTATGACTCACAGAGAATATATGTAATATATCAGCCTTTCATTAAACTGTAAGTTATACTTAGATACAGATATTTCCAATTTATTTTTTATTGGATAGGAAATGAACTCTGGGTGGAAATCTCTGCTCATTTTATCACTGTGAGTTAGGTTTGCATTATTTGATATGTAAATTTCTCCCTTTCCTCAAAGTTGAGTCTTCCCTATGAAACTTGGATTTCCTACTATATCTTCCCACTATTCCCCCAATAAAACAAAGACAAATGAAAAATGTTACCTGGTTATTGAATGTTCTTTCCAGTGACTGCGGTCAAGTTAAGGCATTTGCAGTCCTGTCTGAGGTGTGCACTGGAAGCTCACAATCATTCATTTAATTCAAGTAATTTAAATGTAACACAAAGTCTTTAAAAAATGGGGGGAAAAAAACCCCATTAACTAGCAAAAACCTTTGTCCTCAAAGGTATTTTGATGCGGAATATCCAGAGGAAAAAAGAATGACTATCTTTAATGCAAAAGTCTCATGATATAAGCCAAATGACAAACAAGTCTAACAAGGGTAATGACACCACGAACATACATTTTTATTTTTTATTTTTTTATTTTTTTTGGATCTGTTTTTTTATTTTTTATTTTATTTTATTTTATATTTTTTGAGTTGGAATCTCACTCTGTGACCCAGACTGGAGTGCAGTGGCCGCTCCCGGCCACCGCAGCCTCGACCTGCTGGGCTCCAGCGATCCTTCTGCCTCAGCCTTCCAAGTAGCCAGAATTACAGGCATGTGCTACCACGCCCGGCTGATTTTTTGATTTATTGTAGAGATGAGGTCTCGCTGCCCAGGCGGGTCTCGAACCCGCGGGCTCAGGCAATCCACTCACCTCAGCCTCCCAAATGCGAGGGATTACAGGCTGAGCCACCGAGCCCGGCTATATTTTTAAAAAATCATTGATATAGCTACAGAACACAGAATCAATTTTATTTGGTTAATTTTCATCAATTTCTAGAGCATCCATATCTACATTGTGTAATTTTTGAAATCCATGCTTTATTGTATGCTTGGTAAAGCATAAAATAAAAAAAGTACTTATGGTATATGAATTTTCTAAGATTAGGAAGCATCAAGAAAATCTGTAGTTGCAGTGAGACACAAATCTGGCTTTGGCTGAGTATTCTGTGAGTTTCCACTTTGCCTGCATCTATGCCCTACAGCTGAAAGCAAACAGGACATGATATTTGATCTGCAAAATGTATATTTCTTTTCAAAAAGTGTGGAAGTGATTGAATTGGAGAGAAATGACTATAATTGAAAATTTTCACTTGAGTGAGAGTGTTCAGAGATTATTTTCAGGAACTATTTTATTTTAGACGATTTTTAAATGCCAAGTATGCTAGTTATAATTTAATTTTTAATGTCACTATTCAGTTATCTTTTTATTGCTGTGACTGGACAGATTCACTTTTATGCTATTTTAAAATGAATATTAAGATATATGAATGCAAACATGAGTTGTAAGAAGCATGATGTTTGAAACAGTAGGAATTCTGTTAGAAAAATTGTCTTGTTTTTGCAAGTTTAAGATCACCATTTTGTTCCTAGAGGATGACTTATTGTCATCTGAAAACACAGCTAATAGTTTGGGAAATAGACTTCATCAACTCAATTCAGCATTCTTCCAAGAATATAGAACATTTTAAAAAACTGATTATAACAATGAGAGGTTAAAAGTTTGTTAGACCCATTTTATCTAAATAGCGAACAACTTTATGATCATTAGAGATTTCTTAATGTGATCAGCAAAACCTGGGGGAAAAAAGCCTAAACATTTACATGAAGAAACAAAATAAATTTACTCTTATGTTAATGCTACAACTCAAAATAAAATCACAGTCCTCATAATCTTTCAGGTCTCCAGTCCAAATTCAAACAAAACTAACAAATCTCAGTCCATGCATCTTTCTGACTTATCAGTTGGCATGCATATCACAATTTGAAGGGTTTTGGTTATTTTTACAGATATATGATTAGGATGTAAAAATTCATTACGTAAGTACTCAATGCTCAAGGAGTAATTTTTTAGACAAGTAATTTTCTATGAATATGTAACTTGAGAAAATACATTTAGAAGCATTTACTGGTAACTCTAAAAGTGAGAGGAGTGAATATATTTTTTAATATTTGAGTTTAGAAACAAAAATAAAAGTAAATAAGACTCACAGTATTTTCTTCTTGGTTAATAAGAGAACTACCAGAGTCCAAGTTATAGAAAAATACAAATACCACTTGCAGTATCTGAAGGTCTATAGAGGTATTTGCACTTTGTGTTACAAGATGCTTGTCCTCTCTCTCTCTCTCTCTCTCTCTCTCTCTCTCTTTAATGCAGAAGAAAAAACTATAGCAAAAGACTCCTCAGCTGTACAGATTTTAAAATGAATTTTTACAACCCAGATGATGGACTGGTACACTTCAAAAGTGAGTTCATGAGTTTGAAAAACATGTTTCTCTTTCTCTTTCTGTTTTTCTTGACTAGCTTACATCATAATGGAGGAATAACATTTTAAAAATTTTGAATAGGCACTTACTGGAATTACAGTTAATCCTGATACAATCTAGATGGGGAAGAATAGATGAAAAATGAAAATTTATCCTTCAAGGTAATAGCTGCAGACATCCAATAAAATCACAGTCCACCCTTCCGGGGACAGACACATGCAAATATGGCCACTCCATATCATTATTCTTTATGTACTTCTAGAACCCAGATTTATTGTTATAAAACTTCACCTTTGGAAACAACAATAGAAAGTTTTAAAAAATGGCCAGTTCAAACAAAGCTACATGGTGACAAATCTAAGTGAAATAAACAGTTGTTAAATGTCAAAGATGCTTGACTTAGACTGGCTGCAACTTCATCCCCATCTATGAAAGAACATACTGTTTTCAGCAAAATTTAAAAGTGCTCTGTCACAATGGGGTCCAGTGCAAGCTCAGCTAGGCTCAGACATCTTGGACCTCCAAAATCTTATATCCCTCAAAGGCCAACAGAACCCTTCAGAATTGCAGTGGTTGAATGGAGGTTAAAATTGTTCTTGTCTCACCCTCATATTTTTGTTCTGTTTTCACATTTTATTTGCTTGGGTATAAAAAAGGTAAGAGCCAGATGTTGGCTAGACATCAGACCTTGTATTAATTGCAGGAGGAACGAAACACTGTATGTCTCCTCTAGAAACTCTAGCGGCTAAGCAGGAGTCATTATTCAGAACACACAAGCCTGTATCTCTCTTAGGAGCTAACAATGTTATCTCTATGTAAAAAGTGTCATGGTTCACATTGCTATTGATTTTTCCCTTTCTTATGCTTGCTTTATATCAAAGCATCTCCTATAGGAACAGAGCGTTGGGTACAGACAGTAATTATAGTGGGTGTTTTTAAATGACTACATGGTATGTTTTATGTTTATTTTCTACATAGATATATATTTGGCAGTTTGGGTTTTAATATTTAATGCCTTTGGGGAACATGAAAAATAAAAACCTAGATTCTGTTTCCATATAGCTGAGTTTGTCATGTGTCGTCAACCGCATCAGAAAAGTGGTTGCAAACAGCCAAGGACCAGCACTTACACAACTCTTTCTACAGAATGCTTTGCTGTTGAAACATTCCCATGTGTGTTTCAACTTTGTCTAACAACCCCTTTACTGAAATTAGACAATGTATTTTGATTGGCTTGTAGTAACTTGTCATTGTCACTAGAGGGAACCCTAACAGAACAGTAAATGAGAGTGCTGTGTGTACTTTAGCTTTTTTTTTTAACCAAAAAACCTTATTAACCTGATTTTACTCGTATAATTAAATATAACTATATGTAGTAAGCTACTAATTGACTAATTCTATATTTTATAAGTTAGAATTCTGCCCAGCACAATTTGAAGGAGTTTCCACAAATGCCTTAACCTTATCACATTTTACTACTTTTTTACTTTTTAAAATTTTTTCGTAAGTCTACATAGTTTCAAATTTTATTTTTCTCTCCATATGTATTCATTGCTATGTGGGCTTAACACTTTTCAGGAAATACAGTAAAACCTCATTAAATTTAACTCCTCTTATTTTGAGTTCATGATAATATTGACATGTATTGGGCAGAATATTAATTCTTCCTTAAGTATGAGCAAAGATCTCCTGAGGGGGAAAAAATGTAAACCCACAAACAAACAAGATTTTGAAAGGTTATGTTCTAGAAGAAAAACTGATTTCAAATACTCGACTATATGTTGATGATATGATTTGCATTAGACATTGCTCTAATTATAAATAATTCTTAACCATCCGTTAAAATCAGCCTAGTAAGCTCTTTCCTTGACATAATTTTTCCTTGACATAAGTGTGTTTTTTGAGTGTAACTGAAAACAATAAAAACGCTTAATTTTTTTTTTTTTTAAACCTACGATTCAGACTTTTCCCTAATTCAGCCTGGCTTTTTCCCCTAATTCATCCAGATTGGTGAGGTGTTACTGCAGTGATTCTTAATGCTACAGTTAAGCAGGAAAGCATTATCTTTCTGTAGAAGAGCCTATGTCTTTAGTGTTCTCATGGCTGTTTGCTAAGGGCCGCAGACTTTGGGCATTGAAGGGTTGTGGATTGCTGTTTGATAGCAAAATACCACCACACAGTACTCCAAACAGAAAAGATGGACTACCACAAATGTGGCTATCAAAGGAGAAGCCCAAAGAGTAGAGTAAGAACAACTGTTGATCTAGATAACAAAGCAGAGATTTGATATTATCTAATTAAAAGTAAACAGATTTTTATTTATCTGCAAGGATATCATCTATAACCAATCAGAAAATATAACAACAGGCAATTCAGCTGGAAGTATCTTTAAGCCTAATAACTTATATTTTCTGTTAACCTCACAGATGGATATGGCTTCTCTTTTAAGAACCCAGTGGTAGGAATCACAAAACAGTAAGTTATGTTAAACATAACAAAAAACAATAAAAAGATGCCCCCCCAAAAACCTAGGTTACTTTAAATAATGGAAATAAGACCATTAACTGTTTTAACTTTCCATGGCAAACAGGCTACTTGATAAATGTTTGCAGGCAAAACTGAACAAAAAGTAAAAAGTGTTAGTTTAATGGGCGGAAGGCAAGTTGTTACCTAAATTGACCGTCAGTTTCACACGCCCTGCATCTAGCTCTAGGCGGAGGGTGTCTGCCGAGTCTCTGGAAGTGGTTGCCATCAGAATGCCATATGCTCGCTGGGATCGGAACCGTAAGGACACGTCCTCAGCCTCAGTGTGCATCACCACTGGGAGTTGGATCTTCATAAACATACTCCCATCATAGCTCAAAACCGTTGCCTCTGAAGATGGGAAATGCGTATAAGAAGTTCTCAGTCAGTTGAGTGCATCTACAGTTTGAAATGCAATAGGATCATTTATTAAAGACTCCTAGATAGAACACAACACTACAACTACAGCTCATCCTTTTTAAAAATCAACAGTTTTTTATAAGCTGGATAGAGAAGCCACAGTAGAGAGGACTTCCTTTGTGAAGTATTTGCTGAAGTCCAGAAACAGATGTCAGCAACTCCTTTTTTGTTCCCATAACACTTTCTACCTATAGCATTAATCATGTTGGATTATAAGTGTTTGATTATGTGTCTCCCTTCTCAGGAGCAGAGATCATGTTCTTTTGTACGCCACAGTGTGAGTCTGGTTTGAAACACCAGCAAATATTTTATGCATGTTTATACGTGGTGAGCCCACTGACTAGCTCTGTGAAATCATCAGGTCTTGCCTTGGCTCTGAATTCTTTATCTGCAAAAAGAGAGGATGCTACTGGATCTCTGAAGCCGAGGCCTGTCCTAGAAATCTTCAGTGCTAAGACAAGTTCTGATCATCATTTTATTGTTTCATAATCTCTGCCCTATAGAATTTAAAAAGGAACAAAAAAAAGAAATATGACTTAAATATAGGAATTAGTCCAATAATTTACAAAATGTGAAAAGAAAAAAAAAAAGAAAAACTGATATCATCAAACAACAGATGATGCTTCTTTCGAGCCGTTATTTTTAACAAGGATATTTTTCCAAAGACACAAACTGTAGTTTCATTTTTAGGTACATTTACAGATAATGGGGAACTTTGAACATTATCTATAAGTACGAACCTGGAGTCCTGAATATAGTAAGCTATCAACCAAAGTCAATAACTATGTGTCCTGGTAATATTGAAAAAGGGTGATGGTGAGACTGAGGAGTTTGTGAGTGTGTTTGATACTAAACTAAAGGTGTTAATAGTGAAGTTGCTTACTACAGTATTAAGCCCATAAAGAAGTAAATAGCAAAACAAACTGCCTGCTTTAAGAAATAGTTAATACCCTTTAGTGTTAAACACCATATGGTAGTGGTATATTGCAAAACAATTGTGAGTCATTTTGCTTTCTCACTGGTTCCCATAACTATGAATGCTATTTAATAAAAGAAAAACTGCCTGGAATTAAAATGAACTAGGAAATTCTCCTTATTTTGACTATTTACACAGCATAGCAATTAACTTTACTGATACAACTGTTTTCATTATTAGGACTATATTCAGAGTTTGCCTTTGCAAGTTTATCCTTCAGAAAATCAGGAAAACCAAGTACTATTTCTATCACACTGTGGGGTTGAATGCGCATTCAGAACCTGTAAATGATGAATGTTCCAGGTCTCCTTCCTTGACTCCCTTCTCTTTTTTATGTACTTCTTGATTTCAGAGATCTCAATCAACTCACATGTTCACTCCCCTAATATTTATAAACAGCTCTGACTTCTCTCCTTAGCTCTATCATCCATTGCCTATTTGAAATTTACAATTAGAATATAACAAGCACCTTACTAAACTCTTAATTCACTCCCCCCTGCCCAAAATGAACAAACCCAAAACATGCTCCTTCTTCAGTCTTCTCCATCTCAATCAATGATATATCCCCCATTGCTCAGACCTAAACCTTTCTGGTGTCTCTCTTACTCTCTCTGCCATATTCAATCTTCTTGTAAGTCTGCAAGTCTTCTAGGCTCTAATTCTCATCCATTTTCTGGATTGATTGTTTCAAGCCATGGCTGCTAAAGACCCTCAGAGTCTGCTCCAGTCACTCTTGTAGATCACTACAGAAGTTCCCTCAATGGTCTCCCTACTTCTACTCTTTCTTCCTACTACCAGCAGCAAAGTTACTTAAAACACACACACACACACACACACACACACACACACACACACACACACACACACACATCACATCACATCACATCACTATACAGCTTAAACTAACCCTCCCCAATAGTTTCCTACCGCAATTAATTAAAATTCATGCTACATTTTTTAACTTATTAGGATCAGTGTGACCCTCACCCAGCCTATCTCTCTGGTCTCAGTTTTTAGCATCACTCCTCTTGTCTAATGAGCTCCAGTCACACCAATTTCATGCTCTCGGTAAAGGGTTTGCACCTGCGGATCCTTCTGTCTTAAAAGGTTTCACCTCAGATCTTCAAATGGCTGGTTACTTCACCACTTAGGTCTCTGGTCAAATATTACTCCAGAGAGGCCTGTTCTTCTCTCCAGTTATTCACTAAATATTTTCATTTTTGAAAAAATTACCTTTCCTTATTTGTTAGTAAAATATTATCTTTAGAGTATAAGTGTCTTGAGTGCAGAGAGCAGTCTCTCATACGCATTGATCTGTCAGCCATAAGTGCCCTGAAGAGTGCCAGGCACACAGTTGAGCCTGCATAGATATTGTTATTGAATTAACATTTGCACCTTTTGTAGATATTACAAATATGTGTATATGAAATTTCTTATTTCAATTTATATACCAAGCTTATGTAAATGCTCATCAAAGAAATGAATTAATTATTCTATTTTAAGTAGAATCTAAGTTCAGTAATGTTTGTGAACATAATATTTAATAAAGTCTATGTTGAAGGCCAAAATTGGCCTGTAAAAGGTAAACTAGGAAAAGTATCTATCAAAATAGGGGTCCCATGGTTAGACAATGATCATTTCCTATGTTTTCTTAAAATATATTGCATATATACATATAAATAAATATATATATTATATATTTGTCCAATTAGATAAGAAGTTTCCCAAATGGGAACAAAATCACAAATGACACAGGCCAGTGCAGGTAATTAAATAATAGCTGCTCAATAAATAATTAGAACATGATTGTAAAGTTGTAGTGAATTCTAGGGAAAAACAAAAGTATTTCTGGTATAATATTAAGAGAAATTTAATCTCTACTATTTTTCCCCTAGACTACTGCTAATCATGATTATATCTATAAAACAATAAATACCTAAGTAAAAGTTTAAAAACCATTATCAATCATTCAGTTACTTTGGCAACAAACAGATAAAAGGATGAAGATTGTTTTCTCCTTCTATTTATTTTATTTGTCCTACTAATTTCTACTATTCAATAATCATATTTTTAAAATTATCTCATATTCTTCTATGAAAAGTAGCTTAATTTGATTGAAAACTAAATGGGGGTCATATATTTTAATAAATATAGATGATTCAAAATGGATTATAAATGTAGTATGATATACAATCCAGAGTAGAAAAATAATCAGAGTCATTGGTCTTTAACATTCTTCAAAAAGCTTTAGGACTGAAATAACATAGTAAAGTAATAAAACTCAAGTGCTCCTGAGTGTCATTTTAAATAATTCTCAATGTGAAAACAACTTGTTGATAAACAACAAATGAAAGTCTAAATGACTCCTCATAATTAGAGTTAATGTTTAATTAGAGAAGAAATGGAAAATGCACAAGATTGTAGTCTAGAGTTGCCAAATAAATGGTAAACAGCATCCTGACATTTGAAGGTTATGCTACTTGGCAGCATCCTTTAACATTAGTGATACTATTTTATCATTTAAAACATAAAAGACTCCTTAACAAGGCTAATTCCAGTACAATACTTCCCAGTGGGGGAGAGAAACAGTTTCGATTTTGTCTTCTATATCTCCTTCTCCCTTGTCATTAAGTTTGATAAATTTGCTTTTCTGCATTATTCCTTGTTTCTGTCTAAAGGGTACACCTGTGCTCAGTTTTGCCGAAAGGCAGTCACATATTGTGATCAACGACGAAAATCAACAGGGAGCCAAATTATATTGCTCTGACATCTGTCCCTCCATCTGTTAGAGTTTTAACAAAGAAGTATAAAGTAGACCTCTGATTATATCAATGCTCTTATTTTTATATATAACTGAGAATAATGTATATATGATCAAGTCTCCACAAATTCAGTTTTATTAAAAATAAAGCAGGAGGGAAGGTGCTAAATTAAACTTCTATTCACTGAACATTATTTCTGTACTGCTCTTTTTTATCAGATCAGTATCCATAAAACAAAATACTTTTTATATTTGCCTAAGTTTGTAAATATTTTGTTCTTTATTATAAACCTCTTTACTTCCTTAACGCAGGGTGAACATTTCCTATAATATGAAATCAACATCATTCCCCATGCTGCAATGCTCAAGGACTTGAGCATTGTTTTAAATTATTTGAATAGTCATCTTAATAAATTATAAATCATTGCTCAATAAAAATAAAACAAAAACTTTCATAAGAGCTCTTTTAAAAAAATTAAGAATTGTCAATCAATCCTTATTTGATAAACAGTCTTACAAAACTAACATGTATCTAGAGAAGAAACTCAGCCAAAGCCCTTTCTTTTGAATTGGAAACTCAGAGGTTCAGGCATGATCTGGTGTTAACTGAACTGGGGCAACGCTGAGAACTGGACAGAAGCCAAATGGTGTGATATTGAGCATGACAGCCATCCCACATTTTCCTTGCTCTAAAGAGGCACCATAATGTGAGCAAGAAAATTAATTCTGAAAAGCAAGAACCTCTCAAAAAGCACTCAGAGATTCCAGTAACAAGACCCACCCCGAAATGACCATTTTATCTTCAAAACACGATGAACCTGAAGACAAAGAAATGTGCAGAAATTTGCATTCTCCTGTCTAATTAAAATGTATGCTGAATCCCAATGATGAAGTTTGCTATTAAATTATCATTTGAAAATCTACACGTGCTTGCCACCCTTCTTTCTAATTACTGCGATATATAAATATTCCCTTTTCCTCACTCTGTGTCAGAAAGTCCTACAATTTCTATTTTTATTTTTGCCATCTGTAGTAGCAGAATATTGCCACAGGGTGGTACACCATGCATATTTAACTGAAATCTCTTGTAATTCATGTGACAGTTGAGTTATAACCTTTTCCAGCTTCACTTAACCAAGAGGCATCAGAATAACTGACAGCTCTGAATGACTAAAATTAAAACAAAACCTTAAATCATACAAGTCTGTTAATCTCATATTATGCCTAACTATAATACACCTTGCAAGCTTTCTTACATTTTCCCTCCTTTTGGCAATTTCCAGAGCAAACTAAACAAACAAATAAACTCAAATGAGAAAAGAAAATGCCAAGAGGAAATTTATAAAGACTGTACACCATACAAACCAAAGTGCCCAAAAGTAGCTAAGCTTTAATGATAATTCAGAGAAATTGCAATTAGGTACTGTTAAATGGAGAATGAATACACCTATGTGATAAAATACTTACCTATGTATTAATATGTCTAATTGCATAACACAGAATAATTATAGCATTTTGCTAAACAGTTTAACATAGTGCTACATTATTAATGTATTATTCTCAATTATGTATGTTTATTAATGTTAATCATAGAACTTATAAGCTGATGTACCGCCTTGTTCAGATAAAGAACCAAAATCACATTTCAATTACGAGTTTCACTAAACAACTACCTTTTTCCTCTGGGACATTTTAAGTTAAATGAATTAAACTATTTCAGTATTAAAGAAGAAAAAAAAACTTAAATGTTTATAGCTTAAAAATATAAATGCCAGGTACTTTTAGGTTAAATATCTAATAGAGCAATGTTCTTTACAGTATGAAAGGACAATGAAGCGACTCATCAATTTATTTCTCATATTGATTTTTAGCTCCATTGTTAAAAAATAAGTGACAATGGGTGTAGTGACTAAAACATTTATCTGAAACACTGGGTCGATGGAAGGATAAGCTTAGAACTATTTGTTCTGCCATTTCTTCCTTTAATGTGGTTTGCTATCACACTTCAGTCTTCCTTAAACCCTTATTCCTCTCCTTCTAATGGGAGAGGGAAAGCAAATAAATAAATAAATAAATAAATAAATAAATAAACAAAAGGTAGTTTGCTTCCTGCTAGAGAAAGAAAGGCAGCACCTGCTCAGAATTTCAATAGGTATAGCTTAGCTTTAAATAGGTAAATGAATCTTTCCAACGTTTGGTCCTAGCGTAAGATAAGTAAGTGCCCTTGCAATTAGGGTACACTTCCAAAACTGTTGGAGTACCTTCGATGATTTAAAGCCAGTTTACTTTTCAGACAGGATATTGCCTCTTTGGTACGTTGACTGAAATGAAATGAACAGGCTAACTTAAATCTCACCCAATTGTGTCAGGGAAGTTGCAACTTACAGCTTAGCTTGCCTCAAATGCTACTTGTCAGCGTATGTATTAGCACTGGAGGCCATAGATATGTCTAGTTCATGCCTCTTCTACTGTCTAGTGTCCTGAAGTTTAAAACTGGACAAAAGAGACAGCAGTTATTATCTATAGAACAGCTTAAGTGCATACCCTAGAGGATACTAAAGACTCAAATTTCAATTCCTGCAATATACTTAGAGGGCTGTATCTTTTCGGAATCGAGCCCTTTGAAAATCATTAAGGGCTCATCGGTAATACATGTCAGATACGGCTGCTCAGTTGCAGACAGTGTTTACTTCAGGAGAGTATACATTATATTTCAATGGTCAGTTCAGGTTCAAGGTCAACATTTAATATACTTTTCATCTGGCTGCTGGGTTTTTGGAATCTTACCTCTCTCACAGGACCTGCCAAGATAGCCTGTTCCCGAACAATCACAGACATATCTGTTCCACCCGTCCCTGCACATGCCATTGTTTTTGCAAGGGTTACTAAGGCACGGTTTTGCTGTTTCCCTTGAGCAGGAGGGCTTCACTCCAGCAGTACTTTGAACTTCAGCCATTTGCCGGATATCTTTGCTTTGGCCGTCAATGAACAAATCCCTGATGCAGCCCACGTAGCCATAGTTGAGTAGAGCAGTCCACACCTCGGTGGGGAAGACAAGGCCAGCCTTATTTTCTGGCAGTCCCCCCAGGTACAACTCATCATCCAAGTCCAGAATTTCACTCTCACCAGGAGCAGTGTAGGGCGTGCGCAAGGTGTTGACAGAAATGGTACCTATTGCAAAGACAAGAGAATGCACAAGTCTTTACAGAGCGCCCACATGTTCTAATTATCATTCTTTCTCTCGTTCATCTGCCTAAGGATGAACTCCTTGAGAGCAGATTTTTTTTTTCTAAGCCCAGTGTCTGGTACTTCCCAGAAAAATTAAGAAATCTGTGGAATTAAGTAACTTTAGAAATAATGTAGAGTGTAACTAAAATGGTTCAATTTGCATTTGAGAATGAAAGCCAAAGTGGATAGCCAACAAACAGTTTGTGAGCTGCTAACAGCTCAGCCAGTACATACATGCATACATACATATATTAAAAATAAAAAAATCGACATTCTGCATCACTTTCTAGAAGAAAAATTCTTCTTGGTTAGTGCTAGTTTATAAAGCTAGTATCCATCTGCAAACCAAGGAAAAATTATGTATCCCTATCTTTAACTGATTTGATTGCTCTGATTGAGCACAACCATTTGACAGATTAATTGTGTCAAAACCTAACTTTAACATTCATAGCTGTATGAATCTGTTGACTAAACTCTAGGGTTTTGGTCCATAATATGAGCAAAATAATATGATCTATTCATAGGGTTGCTGTGAGTGTTAAGTAAAATAACACTAGCAAAGTGTCTGGTTTATAATAAGCACTGCCTAAGTGTTCAGCATTTCAGTGACAGAATCAAGTAAAATCAGTTGTTTACTTATTTTGTAAGCCAAACTGGTTATTCATCTAGATTGTTGGAATTACAGGCATGAACAACTGCGCCAGACCTGCACTTATAGTTTAGAAAATCTTTGGGTTTTTTTTTTTTTTTGCATTGGAGTCTCACTCTGTCACCCAGACTGGAGTGCAGTGGCCGCTCCCAGTCACCACAGCCTCGACCTGCTGGGCTCCGGTGATCCTTCCGCCTCAGCCTTCCAAGTAGCTGGAACTACAGGCGCACGCTACCACGCCCGGCTCATTTTTTATTTATTGTAGAGATGAGGTCTTTGTAAAAGAGGAGGCCAATAAACAGAAAGTGCAGAACTTAGTTCAAGTGGGGTGGAAACAGTTACTTTTATATTTGGAAGATTCACAGACAACAATCTATTTGAAATAATAATTAAATTTATTACTGAGTCAAACCCACATAGAAATTTATATTTTAGTCTAAACATGTGCCCTGAAATATACACATTTTCAAAAAAGGAGTTGAATCCCAGCGCTCCTTAATGATTTTACTAAGGATATGAATCAAAGGACATATTCACCTAGCAAGAGTCATCACAGAATCCGAATTAGTCTAAACCAATTTATCACATACATATGAGCATAGTGAAATTTCTAAATACTAAGGTTCCCATGTGTTCCTTTTATTATTATTGAGTTATAAAGGCAGTAATTACAAAGAATGCATCAAATGAATATTTAAACCTTGTTCTTTGTTAATTGAAGACAATTGAGTAGTTACCACAGCTGTATGTATCAGTAGAAAATGAGAATTTTCCAAAGGCTGAGATAAATAGATTTTATAAATACATTTCTAAAAGAAAACAAAAATCTAAGTATATTAATGAGTCCTCCTTCTATCTTTTCCAGGAACCACAATATTGATGTTTTCACTTTGAAATAAATCAATTCTTTCATCACATTCTAACTCCTTTCACAATAATTACACCTGGATTTTCTGATAAGTTAAATAAATGTTTTATGTAAGCATTGTTTTATTTGACCTGTTAAAATCTGGGAACAATAGTTATATATGGGGACATGTTTTGATCAATGTTTCTTGCTTTACTATTTAAGAATCCAAGTTACCTACTGTGTTGTTTTATTTTTTAAAAGAATAAGATTGCAGCTAAAAAAATGTATTTGTATGCATATGACTTTTATAATTTTAATATAAAAACTATATTATATCAACATTTAAACTTGTTTTCATGGCAAATAGAAAACAACATTGATAAGTAGACAAGGTAATAGAAATGAATATTCACAAGTAATAAATTAGCCTTTCACCTTTCATGTAAAATTGTTATGTAAAGGTTTTAAAAGATTGTTGAAAACAGCTCTTAGTTATAAAAGTGGAAATCGACTTTAGAATTTGGTGTGGTATTTGTAAACTGCTAGTTTACTTCCTTTCCTTTTTTTTTAAATCCAATTTTCTTTACTATTCTACTTCCATAAGAATAGTTTACAAATTGGAGTGGTTCACACCTGTAATCCCAGTACTTTGGGAGTAAGATGCCAGAGACCAGGGGTTTGAGACAAGCCTGGGCAATTTAGAGAGATCTAGTCTTCACAATAAGTAAAAAAAATTAACTAAATGTGGTGGCAAATGCCTATTCCAGTTACTTGGAAGGCTGAGGTGGAAGGATCCCCTGAGCCCAGCAAATCGAGGCTGCAGTAGCCATGAGCGTGCCACTGCATTCAGCCTGGGTGACAAAGAGTGAGACTCCAACTCAAAAAAATTTTTTAAAAAAGATTAGTTTACAAGGTGAGAAGGAAGATGGAGTGAAGGTGAGATTTAACATAAGTTAATTTAGCTTCAAGTTTTACATTACCCCCCAAAATTTAAACTGCTAGCTAGTGAGGAATAGAAAGTGTGCTGTGATAGGAAATGCTTTTACCAGGTGAGAGAAAACCAATATTCCAGCTTTTCAACTAACTAACTAGCAAGCTTAGCCAAAGTGTATATACAGGAGGCCCCAATGTGGCCCTTATGTAAAATAAGAACATAACATGATGATCTCTAAGTTCAAAGGGACGCCTAAACTTTACCTGTACAGTTACTATTTGTATACCCAACCCTGAATTGTACCCTATAACTTTAAAATTAAATACAATTTTTAAAAAGGAAAAAAATGAGATTACTGTTTAAAACAATTTTGTAAGTTAAATGCAATTTTATCTACTCATAATTCTGTTTCACCTCTCACTGCACAAGAGAATCAGATTCTACAGTTATAAATTTGCTCGTCAAATTCATATTCTATTAACAAATTCAACTCAACAAAAAGGTACAGTATAAATAATGAAAGCAGAGTACAACCTTGATAATATGGTATGATGTAAGATGTAAAACATACAGTTCCTACAAAATAGTAAAAATAAATACATAACCAAAAAATTATCAATGAGGATTTTGGGATAGGGAGATCACAAAGGTTTTCCTTTACACTTTTTAAAAAACTTTTTAAAAAACAATGTTCTGTATTAGACTTCTAAGGAACTGAAAACTAAAGAAAACCCATCTCAGTTTATTTGAAAACTAAAGAAAACCCATCTCAGTCTTCTGTTTTCTGCTTAATACTGTTCTTTACTTATGCAAACTCATCTGTGAGCTGGGAACTTCAGGAATTAAACTAGTATATGGAAAAAAAAATCACAGAACAAAAATTTAAAAGCTTGATAATATCTAGTATTGACAGGAGTGAGGGAAAATGAGTACCCTCATACAATGTAGATAAAATGTAAATTGAAATAGCAGTTAATAAACTATGTATGTTTCAAAATTAAAAATACAATTAATTCATCAATTTCAGTTCTCAATTTTTCCTACAGAAATAATGACCAATATATACAAAGATATCATGTATGAAGATATTATTTATAAATTAGTTTAAAATAGTGATGTTTCTAAAAAGTAAAACATTGTGCTCTTTAATAGAGGTATGACTAAATATTAGTTCAAACTGAGATATATGATGTCACTACCAAAAATGGCAGAGAAAAGCTCTATAATTTTTTGTAATTCAGTAAAAGCTCAAGTATAATCTTGTTTATGTAAAAAAAAGAAGCTCTATAATTATTGTATATGTGTAAACATATTTATAGACATATCAATGCCAAGAAAAAGACATGAAATTTTTTGAACACCAAATTATTTTAGTGAGTACTATGGAAAAGGGAGTGAATTCGTAAGTAAAGAGTGTGTCAAAGGGAATCTTCACTTATGTACTTCTAAATTGCTGAACATTTTCACCAAAAGCATGCATTTATATATTTAACATATGTCATGTATTATATACATGCACATATACAAATACACATATATATTCACACCAATATTTATACACATATAAATTTGGAAAAAAAGATCCTACACAATTCTGGAAAGTTGCAATTATCCATCAAGCCACATTCTTCAGCAATTAAGATATTATTTTGCAGAAGTTCCTCAGATTTCCACTCAGCATTCCCTAGTGTAGGTCATTGGGGCTGGGTGTGGTCAGTTAACTGCTTATCTCCTCAGCGTGCAACTGATGCCATAGTCCAGGGTCTGCCTCTTTGGCAAGCCCCAAAAAGAGACTTGGTAGATTTACAGATAGAGGTTTCACTTTCCAGAGTTTGTTTTATATTTACCAAGTCCATATAATCAATGTATACAAGAAGAATGCTAAATTATTAATTTTCTATGAGAAATTACCTGCCATAGGACAGAAAATACCTCCCATGCAGCTCTGTCAAGAGAGATACCAATTTACTATCAAATGTTTATCCATTTATTTATGGTGACAAATTTACTTATTACAGACACCAGGAGAAACAGTTGTTTCTCAGTATCCACGGGGGATTGATCTCAGGACCTCCTGCAGATACCAAAATCCACAGATGCTCAAGACCCTGATATGAAATGGCTTAATGTAATCCACGTACACCTTCCTGAACACTTTAAATTCATGTCTAGATTACTTATAATACCTAGTACAATGTAAACGTTGGGTAAATAGTTGTTATACTATATTATTTAAGAAATAACGATAAGAAAAAAGTTTGTACATGTTCCATACAGACACATTTTTTTCTCAAGTTTTTTTTTGTTTGTCTTTTTGGGTTTTTTTGAGTTGGAGTCTCACTCTGTCACCCAGACTGGAGTGCAGTGGCCTCTCCTGGCCACCGCAGCCTCAACCCGCTGGGCTCCGGCAATCCTTCTGCCTCAGCCTTCCAAGTAGCTGGAACTACAGGTGCGCGCTACCACGCCCAGCTAATTTTTTTTGATTTATTGTAGAGATGAGGTCTCAACAA